TTTGACTTTTGGTTTAATGAATGGTGGTATTTTTGCAAGAGGGTATGCGTGTGTGGCATTATTGAAAAGAGAGAACTAATGTGTGGCATTTTTGCAAATGTACCTATAAAAATCACCTAACTAATTTAGTCACTTTGATTCAATTTCATATCATTCGAGTTTGTTTTGGATATTTTAATTAGTATAGAAATTTTATATTTATTTGGATTATTAAATCATGCAGTTCGACTGTAAGTTTGGTTCGATTTTGTTTAGATATTTAGGTTTATCATTAAGTGAACGTATTTCCATATACAATAAGTGTAAATTTTATATATATATTCAAGCAAATCTAAAATTCTGTATAATAATTTATGCAATATTTATAATCAGTTATTCTGTTAACTAAAACTTATATTAATTTTGCACGCGTATAATGTCTAGTGGTTTTTATTTTTGAGTTGAAAAGGAATTTTGTCACCAAAGCCCAATATTTATTTAGAAAAGGCCCATTGAATTCTAGTTTCATAAAAGAAAAGACAAAAAAATCTTTGCATTTGCAAATTGCAAAGAAGAAATATTCGATTCTTTATATCCCCAACATTATATTTGTACATTTGATGCTACTCTATAACGCATCTAATTCATAAACTTGGTCATACAAAATCCTGAAAATGAGCTTCTAGAAAAAAAGATCAAGAGGTCTCCAAGTAACAAGTTGCAGAAGATTCAGCTTCATCGAGCTGAATATCTCCACAAGTAGAGAGAATTGTTGCAAATATATAATCATCAACCTCAAATCCCTCTGCTTCCATTCTATACATTAGCTTCAATGCTTCCCTGCAAAACCCATTCCTCGCGTATCCCATTATCATCGCCTTCCACGAAACCAAGTTCTTCTCAGGCATACTGTCGAAAACCCGGAAAGCTTCCGAGACAAATCCACATTTTGCATACATATGAATCAAAGCACTTCCTACAAAGACATTTGACAGAGCATGATTCTTCTTTGCAATGGAATGGATTGATTTGCCGATAAGAAGAGCTTCTGAATTAGCACAAGCTTTTAATGCCGAGGAGTATGTAAATGGGTTTGGCTCTACACCTTCTTGAATCATATCTTTCAAGAAGTCTAGCGCTTCTGATTCATGTCCTAAGCTCGAACATCCAGAGATCATAGCAGTCCATGAAACCACATCTCTAGATGGCAATTGCTGAAGAACATTGAAAGCGTCACGAGATTCACCGCATTTGCAATACAGCCAAACCAAAGTACTTCCAATATAGACATTCTTTTCGATCGAATTCTTGATTATCTGAGCATGAAGTTCCTTCCCCAACAATAAAGCCCCAACAGATCCACACGCTCTAAGGATGCTTACTACTGTCAAATTGTTAGCGATCAAATGCCGCCTCTTCATTACCCGAAAGAGGCTGATAGCGTCCTCACCATAACCTTCCCGAGCATGTGCAGCGATAATCGAAGTCCACGTGACCGTGTTTCTATTGCTCATTCCATCAAACACTTTTCTGCAATCCGAAATCTCCCCACATTTAGCATACATGTCCATCAACGAAGTTCCTACAAAAACATCTTCCTTAATCATCTTTTTAACCACCAAGCCGTGTACTTGCCTTCCACATCTTATCGCTTTCTCCTCGCTACAAGCCTTCAAGATACTACATACGGTAAACTCATTAGGTAAAAACCCGTGATTCAACATTCCGTTAAACATGACAATGGCTTTATTCCCATGCCCTTTTCTTGAACAAGCCGATATAACCGCGGTCCAAGATATCACATCTTTCTCCTCCATCATATCAAAAGCTCGTAACGCACTTGTCAATTCACCGCACTGCGCATAAAAGTAAACAAGAGAACTCTCAACAATCAAATTCTCCACACCAACTTTCACCATATTACCATGTACCTGTCTCCCTAACTCAAAATCTGGTCTCCTACTACACAGATTCAACAAACACACAAACATCCTCTCGTTCGTAAACCGAATCCCATGCTTAACATACTCCTCAAACAACAAGAACGCTTCATCTTCAAGACCGAATTTCAAGTACCCATCAATCATCGCAGTCCAAGTAACAGTGTTTCTATCTGGCATACTGTCGAACACTTTACGTGCATAAACCAAATCCCCAAGTCTCACACAAGAACTAATCAAATTATTACCAAAATAAATCACTTGATCATCAAAACACTTCAAAGCCATCGCATGAATCCTTTTAACGAGTCGCATCCCACTGGAAGACTGTAGCCACTCCGCGAGTAAAGCGTAATCCACTCGTTCGCTATTCACATTCTCTTTAGCAACTTCTAACCCAAACGAATCACTAAAACCCGAATCAAAAGATAATCTCTTTCCAGAAACTAATCGAAACCCAGATAATCTTCGAATTCCGTTCCTCTGTTCGTCTCTCTTAGGTCTCGTATCGCTAATGCTTAGTATCGTCGGAGATTTGAAGCTTTGAATCGTCGCCGGAATCTCTGAAATCCGAAGTCGCGGTTGGATTAACGATAACGAAAACATCGGCGATGGTGGTGATTTTCTCCCGCCGATTACTGAAACCAAGAGATAAAGTTTTTTTTTTTTGTTAAAGTTTAAAACTTTTTTAATTAATCTGATCTTGTAATTATGACGACAACAAATATTATCTCGGTCGGTTTCAAATTCCTAAGTGAGAGACAAATATACACACACATATATAAAAATGAAATAAATTTTATTAGTTTTAAAATCCAATCATAACCAAACACGTGTCTTACCACTTTCCTCTACACAAACCTGAAAACCCTTGAAATGCTCCACGATCCCACAAAACGTGTCTCTTTGCTTTCTCTCTAACTTCAATGTTCTTCTTTAATCAATTCTTCTAATTTCACTGAAAAAGTTTTCAACTTTTTTTTCATCTTCGAGCTTAATTTGTAGTAGCTTCCAATTTCTGATTAAGCTTAAGGTTTTTTTATGAAGAAACAGAGCGAATTTGAAAATGTTTAGCTAAGCCTAAAGCTTCTTCTCTGAGACTTTGGGGTTTTTTTTTTCATTGTTTAAACGAAACTCAGAAGAAGAAGAAAAAAAAACAGAATCTTTAATTGTTTTCTTTAAAGGTTGAGAATTTGAAACGACTCAAGTTGGGGATATTCGTTTCTTCTTCTTCTACTTTGGTCTCTTCCGTTTTCCTTGTCCAAAAGGTTTTATTCAATTCCCTTTTTGAGAGGAACAAATAAAAAGCTTCAATTTTTAGAGAAACCCAAAAGGCAGAAACAGAGAAAAGTAATCAAATTCATGAAACAGGTGAAGAAACAAAAAAGAAAAAAGCTTTTCTTCTTCCTTTTTACTTCTTATAATCCAATTTCTGTGTCTATGGTTGGTTAATTGTTGAAGATAACAAACTCATTAGGTGATTGCTTCTTTTCATTTCTTGTTCACATAATCTGCGGAATTGGTAGCTATAAGTGTAGAAAAAACAGGAAAAATATCTACAAAAACTACAAAAACCCTCTGAATATTTTTCCAAATTGATCTCATTTTCATAATGAATCCATATATTGTTAATTGTTTTGTTTTCTTCTTTGAAGAGGATTCATAATCAATTCTCTGAATTGCAGTTTTTCTTCTTCTTGCTGTCTAAATTGCAGGATTCAATGAATAGATCATGTCTCTGTAGTATCCTAATCACAACAGCTCTGATATGTGGTGCTTACTTCATTGGCAATGCTTATCTTGCTAAACAATTTAAAGAGGTAAATTCTCTTTTGTATTTGATTTCACTTATTGTTTTGTGTAAATCAGTAATGAGTGAAAATGAGAGATGATGGTTTGATTGATTTTTCGGTTTGCGAAGAACATGAAATTGTTGAAGAATTCTGGTTTTATAGTCAACACTAGATCAAAAATAAGTCTAACCACACAAAATAGATTATTCTGATTTTGATATATAAGATTTTAAAAATTACAGAAACTGCTAAGCTGGGAAATCACCGATAAGATGCATAATATCACTGAGAATATGCATAAAATCACTACCGATAAGATGCTGCTGAATGCAACATTGCGTACTTGTGAGGTTTGATTTCGAAGACAATTAGAATTATTTTTCTTTTGAATTTATATTATAAGATTGTTTGATATCAAAGTTTACAATTGATATCTTTCACTAGAATCTCAATAAACCGTTGGGTACTGAATCATTACCGCAAGGAATTATCGCCAAAACGTCAAACTTGGAAACGCAACATCTATGGAACTACGGTGACACGAAAAAGGTGGTTAAGTTGTTTGAGATTTCCTCTATGATTTGTAAAATTTCATGGCTTTTGTTTGTTTGGTAGCTTAATCGTTTCGTTGTATTTTCCTTTCTTGATTTCTTTTCAGGGAAATGTCAACCGATCGATGAGTTTGTTAGCCATGGCGGTTGGAATCAAGCAAAAGAAGCTAGTCAACAAAGTTATCCAAAAGGTTTTGTCTTGTGTTTTGCATTTTTTCTATCAGTAAGATTTTCGCCTTTTTGTGTCGACCCATGATACAAATTGCTGTAATTTCAGTTTCCTCCTCGAGATTTCGTGGTCATGCTTTTTCATTATGATGGTGTTGTCGACGAGTGGAAACAGTTTCCATGGAATGCGGATGCAATTCATGTTTCCGTAATGAATCAAACAAAATGGTCTGTTTCTTGCAATTCTTGTGATTAAATTCATCGACTTTCACATATTTGATCTAATAAATAATTGTATGATGCTAATGTCACAGGTGGTTTGCCAAGCGGTTCTTGCATCCTGATATAGTTGCAGAGTATGAATATATATTTCTTTGGGACGAAGATCTCGGCGTAGAGCATTTTAATCCTCAAAGGTAAAGCACAGATTTAGGATTTTTTTGTTCTTTTTATCTTTCTCAGTTTTACTTGCATGATAAAAATCATTTCATTTTTAGATACCTATCTATTGTAAAAAAAGAAGGCCTTCAGATATCGCAACCCGCTCTCGACACTTCGAAATCAGAGGTGCATCATCCCATAACTGCTCGTCGGAAGAACTCAAAAGTTCACAGGAGGATGTATAAAAACAAAGGTAGCGGGCGATGCGATGACCAGAGCACCGATCCTCCATGCATTGGGTAAAAAACCCTTTTATAAATTCCAAGAGTGATCAGGAAAGATATATGTCTCACATTTGTGCTTAACATGTAACTTGGATTTGCAGGTGGGTAGAAATGATGGCACCTGTTTTCTCTAGAGCAGCATGGAGGTGTTCTTGGTATATGGTTCAGGTAAAATTTGTATATATTTTTCTCAGCATTTGATTTTCTTTCTTCGAGTCAAGAAAATTGGTTTATTTGTTCGGTTCGGGTAATTTTGGTCTTATGTGTGGGCTTCGTTTGCCAAATTCAGCATAAAAATGATCAAACCGTTTGAGCTATGAACGAATTTTGGTTTGGGTTCGGTTTGGTTCAGGGTTTTAATGCTTTTGTTTTCGATGCAGAACGATTTGATCCATGCTTGGGGTCTGGATGTCCAGCTTGGTTATTGTGCTCAAGTTGGTTTCTTCTTCTAAATCTTTTTTTCCGCCCTTTTTTAACCGGTCTTGATTTTGTGGTTCTTAATTTAACATAGTTTTTGGTTGCGGATAGGGTGATCGGAAGAAAAATGTAGGTGTTATTGACGCGGAGTACATAATTCACTACGGTCTTCCAACGCTTGGTGTGGTTGAAACCGCTTCAACCTCTGTGCGGAATGAGACAGACCCGAAATCAACGGTACTAGCTTCGTCAAGTGTTTGTATGTGTTTCTTGAAGCAGAAATGTGTTTTTACTAATCTGTTTCTGTTTGGACAATTTTCACAGGAATCATCAGAGTCTCATGAAGTTGATAATAGACCTGAAGTGAGGATGAAATCATTTGTAGAAATGAAAAGATTCAAGGAACGTTGGAAAAAAGCTGTGAAGGATGATAGATGTTGGGTTGATCCGTATTGAAACCCGAGCGGTTTAAGTAAACCTAAACCAAACCGGATATTTTCACAACTAGAGTTGAAATTGGTCTTTGTTGAGTATGTTTTTGTGGCCCAGTGTATACCATTTTATTTGGTACATAGATTTTGTTTTACTGGAAAAAAATCTCAATGTAGTTATGTGTTCTGTGAATGATCACATAGAGAGTAGTTGTACAATGATTATAGAAAATTGTTTTTGTACTAGTAATATATTTGATGATTATCCCCTGATTTGTTACCAAATTACACTTTGTCATTCAAGATATGAATACTTGTTTTTGACAAGTTAATAAATAATTCTATATACTGATTCTACAACAAATAATTTTACTCGCGTAAATTCTATATATACTATCTTTATGATAGACAATTTTAGGTTTTGGTGTTGACTTAACACTCTAACTCATTAAGTTTGTTTTGAATATATAATATCTCTTTCACAATCATTGAATATTAGCTTAAATTTTTATTAAATTCCTATTAGAGCATCCAAAATAAGAGTTTTTTCATGAGTTTTTTCATGGATTTCTACCCATTAGAAAATAAAAATTAATAGAAAAATAGGAGAGAGAAGAAAAATGGGTTTTTCATGAAGAAACTCTTAATTATTTTTAAGAAACTCACTAGACACATGTTGGCATCCAATTGGTTTAGTTTTCTTTTATGCTTTAAAATTTAAATCAATA